TTACTACATAAGGAAATTCTCGCCATGACAAAATTACCTCTTTTTAAATAGATATTTTCTGCATCATTGATAGGCCAAGCCTGTCCTTCACCTATTAAGCACCACCCGCTTGTCACTTTTTGTAAACTCTTTGATAAATTTATGATTTATCTGAATGATTGTAAATTTTATTTATTGTGTTTAATCTGATTAAGGGCAGAAATATTCTTGTAGTTGGTAGGTGGCATTTCTTATGTAACTGTATTTGTTGATTTAATAGTCATTCTATTTTCTCACCAAGAGTCAAGAGCTCCAATTAGGGTTGCCAAAAGAAATGCAGGATGCCCAATTAAAGCTGAATTTCAGATAAACAACAAATAATAAGTATAAATATATCCCAAATTGTATTTTTTAACCTAAAATTCAATTTTGGTGTCATGTTTTTATTTGCTAAGTCTAGCAACCCTAAAGTGGATTTTCTGCAAATCAGATAACTTGCTCCTCAGAACTGAGGGATCCATGATATTCTTAAAGCATTTTCCCTGTGGTCATTTTCTTAAAATACATAGCAAAGCATTAGGAAATACAGACAGATGTCAGAAGAAAAAAATGATTAAACATTAAAATATTAGGTAGTAAGAACTCAATGTGTTACCTATGGAATCTGAAATATTTGAGATATCAAAAGAGTGCTACCCAAAGTTTAGCTCCCATTCTTCTTCCAAAGGCTTTAAAATGTCCATTTTTATCTAACTTCTTGATTTGGAAACACTTATACTTCTTTACTACTTTTTCATTAAATGTGCTGAGAGGCTTCTGAGCAGTGGATACATCTATTACAAATATGAAATGTCTATATGTTAATCAACATCAACAGATACCCAAGACCACCGAGTTTTAAAATAAAGTAGTTATTAATTAAATTTGACAACAGAAAGGGCATGTGGGTACAGGAAAAGAGGAAGCTGTCCAAGTGGTGAAATCATGCTCCATATTAATAAATGAAAAAATAAGGTAAATCAGTGTTAGCCAAGGAGAGACTAGTGACTTTGAAATGCAATTGAACTTATTGAAGCTTCCGGGTGAGTCTCTGGAGCATTACCTAATTGGGTGGCTCCCTGCCTTCTGGTCATGTAGTTGAACGATCAGAGCCTGGCAGCTGACCCAAGGTGGGCTTCTTCACCCCTGGAAACATTAAACTTGAAAGGCAAGACATAGGGGACAGTTGTTGGGCTTAAACTTGGCAATAGTAGCACTTGAGAGGAAAGATCAAGGAATTTCTAGTCAGAATCCTAGAAGCTGTCCTTATTCCTACATTTCCTCAGAGCAAATGCATTTCGGTTTTAGCTCTAACTCAGATGGCATGAACTAGTTTAGTGTTTTTTCAACAGATGTCTGTGTGCTTAAGTTAGCTAGAGTTTGCTTTTAGGTTGCTTGCAAGCAAAAGAATATATACATATATGACGTTTTGAGGTCAATGTTATCTCTATTTTGATTCTCATTCAATCAAATATACAGATATATTATTAGTCAGGGGAGAGTGGTGAATGAGATGAACATGATTTCTGCTTCATGGAGCTTTCAATCCAGTGAGGAAATCAGTCACTGATAGAGAACTTGAAGTGTGGAAATGGAAAGGTTTCATTCATTCATCAAACACATACTTATTAATCTCCTATTATATATAAGGCATTGGCCATGACTCCTGGAACACTAGTAAAGAAAACAAAGATCTTTACCCTTAAATATTTTAAGGGAGACAAAAATAATAAGCAATAAACATCTTTTTTTATGGACAAATACATAAGTAAATAACATAGATATAGAAAGTGGTGAGTGCCATGGGAAAGTATTTTTAAAATGAAGCAAGAAAAAGACTGAGATGCTAGAGAGAAATGACAGGGTGAAGAAGAAACTAAGATATTATTTAAGCTAAATTATTGACAACAAGGTCAGTTACTCAAAATGAAGATGAAGTGATTAGCCAAAATAGACTGTTATGGATTTTATAAGCCATTTGAGGATTTCGGACTTTATCCTAAGGCAATCCAAAGAGTTTTAAACTACACACTGACACGATCAGATTTGCATGTTAAATTTATCTTTCTGCCAGCAACTAAAAACACATGGAAAGCAAACAGTAGCGGATGGGAAAAAATAAATAGGAGGCTTTTGTCCTAGTTCACATGAGAAATGGTGTTGCCCTTCACTATCATGTGTTTCATGAATTGGAAAACGGTACTGTAAAAAAATAAAAGGCTGTTATTGGGGTTTAGATTTTCAGCTGCTCACATTTAAAATAAATGAATACCTACCCATATTTATCTTCTGCCTAAATTCTTATATTTTTTTCTTCCCTGGTGAGATAGTATATGGTAGATGATATAGCAGAAAACCACTCCACTATTAGGTCTAAAACAAGGGTAAGATACTGGTGAGCAGTGGATCATTTGACCTTCACAATTTGTGATGGCATCTTGTCACACTCACATTTTTTTTTAAAGGCAGTGAAACCAGATAGATGTTATGCTTGGTTGTTGCACAAGCAATTTAGCACTTAACCAATTTCATGGGTATAAGGTTATGCCCTCCTGTAATTACTTAAAATTTTTTACCTTAAGCATAGACACTAATTCTACTCTAAGCAGCCAGTGCCTTTTTTTTTCTTTGACATGGGTCTAGCTTAGGCTTTTTCAGTCCCAAAAATGTAGATAGAAATTATATCCAACCTTCAACTCCATGGTTTCAAGTCTTGCTGGTTCCAAATGTAATAACAAAGGGGGAAGTGACTTTTAATTCTCTTTTCCCCCATCCCAAGATTCCCCCTCTCATTCTTGAGGAAGTGAGAAAGGTATTCATCTCACCATATTGGAACATGGTTCCCTGTACCCCAATTTAGTGTCTTGAGGACCCTGCCTTTCCTAAGGAAGCTGGGGAAACTTAATGATGTGGTTTTTAATTGTTCCCATTGCAATATCTTACTATAAAAATGTACTTTAAAAAGAATAGGTTTTCATCTTGTATTACTTTGTGTCTTGGAGTTTCTCCCTCATGCAATTCTTTGCATCTTGTCTGAAGTGAACCATTTTAAAATTTATATCCCGTCCTACTTTTATTTCAAGAACTTACTTAAAATATCTTTCTCTTTTCCTTGCTCAGATATGCATGAACACTTTATGCATTTCACACTCTTTTAGATGGAGAAAAATGCTAATCTGAATAGTGGTAAAATCAGAGTCAGAATAAAGATTTCATTTTCAAAAGTGTGTACAATGCAATGTCTTCTTATTGCGATCAGTTTTTTCCATTGTTAATGTAAGTGCAAAAAGACATGGATTACTAAAACAGGCTGCAGAACATGAATTTAGGAGTGCTTACAATTTGATGGAGCCTAGCATAGTGGCTGGGCAGGTAACACATTCTACTCCCTTTAAATCCCCTACTCCACCCAAGAAGTCAAACATATTCATACCAGTTCCTCAACACATGTGTAGATGAGTGGAGTACATTGAACTCGGTGATAGACCTAGGAGACATCTCATGTTTATTGAAGCCTAAAAAATCACATCGCGGATGGCCTTTTGACTAGGAAGTGAGTGCTGGGTTCTGTGACTCTAGGGTTGGTGTGTGGACATACCCAAGAAAGGACAAGTCCAGAGAGAAGCTGCTGGAGAGCAGACTAGAATGAGACAAGTGCTCATCTAGATCACGGGGAAGCCTTCAGGAAGCACAGAATGCTAGGCCCCGCCCCCTGGGAGTTTCTGATTCAGATGAGCTGGAGAGGGGTCCTGAGAATTTGCATTTCTAACAGTCTCCCTGGGTGATGCTGAGGCTGCTAATCCAAGTAGCCCTCAGTAAAAGAAAACTACCAAATTAGATATTGAAGAGCGGCCCAGCTAAGGAGATCTAGGTAAGCTGCTTGCTCTGTGATCTGTGCAGAGGAGGGATAAGTTCAGAGGTTTCTGAGGTAAATACCTGGCTAATGTAACTAAGTGGGCATCAGAATAGTGTTAAGGGTCTTGCTTCCTCCTGATCAAAGGGCTGATGGCTAAGCGCCGGCAGGAAAAAGAGAGAATGACCTCAAGAACTCAAATGAAAAATCAAGTGAGCTGACAAATGGGATGGAAGATAGAATGCATGGAATCGACTTAGTAACATTTTCAGCTGAGTTAATCTAATTTAGCAATGTAAAACCAACTACATATGTCTAAGCTAATTTATACATAGGTTTTCTCCAAAATATCCTTTCGCTGCAAGGAACGTTTCCGTCCTTTAGCTGACTATACACACCTCAAGGTAAATGGGGAAGGTGGAGACAGCCCAAGGAGAAGGGGAAGCCCATTCATCCCAGAGAAAGGACTTAGGAGAAGCCATGCCCACTCCCCACCCCTCACCAATTAGTGCCATCTCCCAGGTAAACAGCCTTAGGTAGTTCCTGAAACAGTGGCAACAGCTTCAGCACGCAGGCATCATGGGGACACATTTCACCTTACTGCAATATTGAAATGGAAACCACCTAAAATTTAGAACTGATTTCATAGGCTTCCCTGTACTCAGCTAATTAGGTTTCTTTCATTTTAAAACTTGAGCATGGTATTTGTGCATACGTATCTGTGTTTCTTCCAGATGATTTTTTTTTTACAAGCAGTAATCACTTAAGACTTTGGGGAACACTGGCATTTATTTTCATTACAGAATTTCATGGGCTCCAGTGGGTTTTCTTAATTTGCCAACAAAAAGGAATAGAGGTTTCTAATAAGATGAACTAGGTCCAAAAAATGGTACATTTTGGCAAGCAAAGAGTCAACTGCCCATATTTAATGTAAAGTAATTTCTGTTAATTTGAAGATATGTTTTGAACAAAGCCTGCTTGGTGATCTTTCCAAGGGGAAACTCAGCTCATGTATAAAAAGCCACTTAGAAATGACTCTGGGGACCTTGGCTGCACATCCAGCGGTCACATATTTCAATGCTTCGTTGCTCCCATTCCTGTTGCAGGTACATGTGACAGCGCTGCAGCTATGAGTGGAATTTTAAAGAGGAAGTTTGAAGAAGTTGATGGCTCCTCGCCCTGCTCCTCCGTGCGGGAATCTGATGATGAAGTTTCCAGCAGTGAAAGTGCTGACAGTGGGGACAGTGTCAATCCATCCACCTCTAATCATTTCCCCCGTGAGTACAGAATCCGTACCTGAAGCCGATTGTCTGGGTCTGCAGTGAAAATAATTGTATCACCTTGGTCCTTTTTTTTTTTTAGCCTTCATTGCCATTTTTTTTTATAATTGATCTAAAATCAAATCATGGCTAAATAAAAATGAAATATGTTAGCAGCAACAGTGGATTCATTTTAGGTTGCTATTGGCAATGGACTATTTAGTTTTGTTAACCAACTGGTTCAATAAAAAAAAAAGAGAGAGAGATTTTATTATTACTTTTTGAAGGAAGCAGTCTACGTTGGAAATAGAAAAGACAAGTAAAGGCACAAAATAATGTATCCTCCTATACATGAACAATATTCTGGGTTGTATTGTGGAGTTGAAGGTCTAGTTTAGGATGAAAAGAAGCTTAGCCAGCTATGCATTAAGAGAACAACAACAACAACAACAACAACAACAAAAAAAAAAAAAACAGCAAAAATCTCCCAAGTGTGCAAGTGCATGCAGTTTAGACCTCTTTCCTACTCATTTCTTTATTCTCTCATCCCCAAGAATAATATTTAAAACTCACACACACAAAAAAAGAGAAAAAATGTGTGGTTTCTCTTTGATTCCTTTTCTTCCACATGGTAACATCATGTCTTCCTGTCAGTCAAGGTATTATGAGGTTTGCAAGAATGATGAGAAAAATTCATAAAGTAATACAACCTACAAGCTAAAGAAAACTTACTAGTAACAGATAATGTCATAAGTAGAATTTTTGTTTCTAACAGGCAAATTGTAATATATCATGATATCATGATAGATAACTAGTCCAGATATCAAATCAAATTATATAATTTAACTTTTTTTATACTGGCTAGATCTAAGAAAGTATAGAAAATCTCAACATGTTATATGAAAGAATTTAATATATAAAAATAGAGCATTATAAAATAATTGGAAAGGAATGAATATTTGATAAATTTCATAGAGTTTGAAAATAAAGTAACTTAGATACACATCTCACAACATATACCAAAATATATTCCAGATGGATTAATTAGATAAGTTTTTCTTAAAAAAAAAAAAATCATGGGGAAAGATGAATATTTGCCAAAAATTTAGTAAATCATTATATGAGCCTTAAAGTAACAAAAAAAACTCATATTACAATATACTTAACATATTTAATAATCTAAAAATATTAAACTTATCTACTACAAACAAAAAGTTTAAAAAGAAAACAATCCATATTAAAAAAAACTATTTGCAATTAATATGATATAGGGTTATTTTCTAGATAGAGTTTTAAAAAATACATTTTTTTCAATAAATATTAAGACACACACTCTACAGATAATCTAAATAGTGGAAAATATGATTAGCAAATATTTTAAGAATTTTATAACAATGGTAATATTACAGATTAAAACAATACATATGAGCCCTGGCCACGTGGCTCAGTTGGTTGGAGTGTCATCCTATACACTGAAAGGCTGCAAGTTTGATTCACTGTTAGGGCATGTTCTGGAGGCAACTGATCAACATTTCTCTTTCTCACTCTCCCTTTCTCTCTGTAAAATCAATAAAACTCAATAATAATGGAAATTTCATCTCCATTAAATTTGTGCTCTTTTACTCAATGAAAAATACTAACACTTAAGTGCGGGTGAAGGTAGCAATGCAAATCATAGGTACATATATTGCTATTAGTGGTAGTGAAATTTAGAAAGCACTTGGAAATATAAAAGCCAAAATATTCATGTCTGTATATACATGTCTGCATATAGATAAGCTAATTTATCTGAAGGAGGAAACATCACAAAGGGAAAAGATGCATAAATGAAAATGTTGGTGCTTGATGGTAGTACCAACAATTGTGGGTTGGAGTGGGGAAATGATATATTAAGTTATGGTAACATATATAATTTATTTATTTTCATGATATTTATGAAAACTTTATGATTATTTAAAAAACAAAACTTAGCTATACTGTCAGGAAAAGTCTATGTATGCATAAGAGCAAAGAATGCAAGGTGCCCTAAAAACTGAAATTGATTTGATTTGTTAAAGTCTTAGAATTATGGATTAATTTTCATATTTATTCATTTTTATTTCTGCTACTATTCTGTGCATCCCACAACACATAAGTGTTAAGTTTAAACTAAAATTAGTTTAGATTGTGTATGTATGCAAACAGCAGATTGAAATGTCATGATCAGCTCAATCATGCAGTATGTCAGCTAACTAGTAAAGACTTTTGTGTTATGGCCAGCAGAAATTACTTTTCCCATTGAAGAAAATAGGTATACTTTAAGATGTCCAAAATTTTTTGAAATGTTTGAGCTTATTATTTATTATCAATGGTAGTTAGTAATGAGTAGTTTACTAAATTGCTGATTTAACTTTGTTTTTGTTTTCTTACTTTTTTTTCCCCCCCATCACTGTTTAGACCCCTTATAGCCTCTTCCACCTCCACCTCTACCTGCACTGATTTAACTTTGTATTAAATAAAATTGAACAGATTTTTCATGATTTTTAAAGATAATTAAATGACTGATTTAATTAAGAGTGCTATTTTTATTTAATAGTCTACTTAGTTCATTATACTTACATTATGGAGAGAAAGGGAAAAAAACAAAGAATGAAAATATAAAAATTCTATGTAGAATATTTACTGTATAAAAGATATAAGCAGGTGTGGTTCAGTGGTTGAGCGTGGACTTAAGAAGTGGGAGGTCATGGTTCGATTCCTGGCCAGGGCACATGCCAAAGCTGCAGGCTCAGTCCCCAGTGTGGGGTGTGCAGGAGGCAGCTGAGCAATGGTACTCTCATCATCGATATTTCTCTCTTTCTCCCTCTTCCTCTCCCTTCCTCTCTGAAATCAATAAAAATATATTTTTTAAAAAGATCTAAGCATGTTAACTAACCAATGTGAGAGGAGCAGTTAAAAGGGTTTTTGTTTCTAGAAATATATTCTAATTATTTTGCACACATTTTTAGAAAATGTTTCATTTATTTTTCCATCTAGGTAAAATGTGTACTTACCTGCAATGGTCTTATTTGCATATGAATCTATGAACATACACTTTTGGAAGTGTTATTATTGAGGAGTCCTCTTTCTTTAATATATTTCCCTACTTTCAGAAATAAAATGATGACGAAGGATTTTTGATGGCTATGAAATGTGTGTAGCATGAAGAAATCAAATTTAGTTTCACATTGAGAGTATTAAAAATATGGTTATTTAAATCTCACTCATCATGAAGTCAGGTTTAAAATATCCTATGGACTTAGTGGTTTATAAGCACTACCATATTGTATCAGGACATTTTGTTATCATCACAAATACAGGAATTGATAAGATTATTTGGAGCATGTCAGTAGGATATCGTAGTAGGAAATGCCATACTATTCTAAGCTTTCTGTAAAGATATTCAATTTGCAGCACATCACATTACGATAATGAAAACTTCAAAATGCAAACCAGTAAAGGCTTATGCCTTTTTCCTTGAATTTCTGAGGTTTGCTAGACAACTAGCATACCGAAGAGCGATCAACCAAGGTCGTATCTTACACTTCCCTTGAGACAGAAGTAGCTGGATTCTGTATTGCTGTGGAGCGCTTTGCTTCATCAAATCCCTGAGGAGCTATAGCCAATCAGCCTGTACTTGAGCACTGTCAGAAGGAGAGCTAGAGAGGAGTTAGAACGGACTGATTTTTTCCCTGTCTTCTCAAGGTTCTTGGCACTTCACATGAATAATGAGAAGCTGTGTGATGAAACATCCTTCCAAAGAAACACATTATTTTTCCTGAAATGGAGTGCTTCTACAAATAAATGTATAGTATTTAGGAAGTGACAACATCAAGCAATAAAAGGACAGATATTCTAAATTGCACATAAAAGCAAGTATGGATGTCTTACAGAGGGATAAAATTTTATAATTTATAAACAATTTTATTATCCTGAGCTCATTTGATATCCAACAATTGTTGTGATTAGGAGACATTGTTGTACTCATTTTATAAAAGTAGGAATTAACATTCAGGTGTATTTATAATATGCCCAAGAGCTGAGATTATGATCTATTTTTACCTCACTCCCTCTCTCCCTGCTTCTTTCCCTCTCTTTTCTCTCTAAATACGCACAACATAAATATGCTACCATGTGCACCCAAGTCAGAGTCTTCCTCCGGTTACACATTTCATAATGGGTTTGGAAATAATGAGTAGAAAACAGATTTTGACGTGAAACTATACTGTACTGGAACTATGACTGAAATATATTTCTGCTCTACTGAGCAGTTAAGATGCCTTGAAGATTTAGATTTGGTTTCAACAAATATAGTGTATCTGTTACAGGCTCAGTGTAGGTGCTTTCAGACAGGTCCAAATGATAAATACAAGTAGTAAATACAACTTGGTGATAACAGTAACAGATCATGTCTACCCAGCATTGTGGTATTAATTTGAGAATTTACTACAGCAAAGACAAATGTAGCAATCTACCCTTGAATTAGTGATTTTTCAATATATGAGGAGTGTTCAGGCAGAAACTGAGCACAGTATTTTATAGGGAAAGTCTTTGATTGAGCAGGACGTGGGACCACACAACCCTCCAAAACTCCTTTCTACTTTGTGAAAGTATAATTCTAAGAACAAGGATCAAATACCATCTTAAATTAGAGCCATGTCCAAATAGTAAAAGATAAGCAAGTGCAAGACGCCTCTGAAAAGCTGCTATTAAATTAAGAAATTAGACTCTCTGCAGCCCCTTATGTTGAAAAGAACCCAATTAGCCAGGCCTTGTCAGATCAGATGGAACCAGTTGGAGATCTATAATACTACCCCAGGTCACATATATAAACACCAGACAATGGCCCAGTTGAATCATTAGGTGTTGAGTTTATTTTGCTGGGGATAAGGGAGTTATGGAGTTCAGATATTTATGAGTGAAGGGAGATAGATATGAGCTAGGTGGTCCTTTTAGAAAATATTGTAAAGCGCATTGACTGGAACCATGTAACTGTCTCA